GGCCATGCGCGAGTGGCTCCTGAAGAAGTCGGAGCAGGAGGAGGAGGGCCTCCGCGTCGAGGAGGCCGCGCGCGAGGCCGCGCGCGAGGCCGCGCGCGACAAGGAGGACCGCTACCGCAAGCGCGCGGCGCAGCAGAAGAAGAAGCTCGCGGCCTACTACGCGTCCCTCGAGGCCGACCGGGGCGCGGCCGAGTCCGCGGCGCCGTCGACGGGCGCGCCGACGACGCGGTCGGGCGCGTCGCCCGGCGGCGGCTTCGACCCCGACTTCGACCCCCACGCGTCCGTCGCGGGCTTCCGCGACGACGACGGCGACGCCGCCGCGCCGCCGCCGCGGCTCTCCGCGCTCCCGGACGACGTCCTCGCGGCCGCGGCCGCGCGCGCGGACGACCCGCCGCTCTCCTACGAGGACTTCCTCGCCCGGTCCATGGCCGACGCCGTCGCCCCCGCGGCCGGCGGCGACGCCGGCGCGGAGGCCCGCGCGGCGCCGCCCGCGGCGCCGCCCGCGGGCGCGCCGCCGGCGAAGAAGGACATCCGCTTCTTCTGACCGCCGGACCGCGCGCGCCTTACGCGTCGTTATCGTCCGCGCCGCCGAGCCGGCCCCGGCGCCGCGCGTAGGCCACGAGGCGCGCGCGGAACCCGACGTTGCCGAGCGCGACGCCGCGCCGCTCCTTGATGAGGCGGACGGCCTCGATGAGCGTCATCCTGCGGCGGGAGGCGGGGTCGCGCCGCGCCGCGGCCCCGGGCGGCCCCGCGGCGCGCGCCCCCGCCCGGCGCCGGCGCGCGCCGCTCCGCGTCCATGAGCCACGCGGCCGCGCAGGCCGCGCTCCGGTTCACGCCGCGGTCGCAGCAGAGGAGGAAGACGGCGCCCGGCGCGCGCTCGCGCTCCGCGGCGGCGTAGGCGCGGATCTTCCCGTAGGAGGCCTCGCCCAGCACGTCGAAGGACCGCTCGTCGCGGGCCTCGACGCCGCAGTAGCGGACGCCGTCGGAGTTCGGGCCCATCGCGCACCAGGGCTCGGCCACGTTCAGCATGTGCGTCACGCGCCGCGCGTTCCCGTAGAAGACGTCCTCGGCCGCGCGCCGGCCGCCGAGCCAGAGGTAGCCCGTGAGCTGGCACGCGTCGGCGTCGATCTCGCCCGGGGCGTCGAGCACGTCGGCGAGGCGCCGGAGCCAGCTCCGCTCGACGTCGTCGCCCGGCTCCGGCGCGGCCGTGGCGTCGGGCGCGGCGAAGGGGCCGCGCGACGACGCGTTGTCCGATGGCAGCGGGTCCTTCGCGTGCGCGGCCAGGCGCACGAGGTGCTGAGGCATCGGGCTGCCACTGCCCCAACCGTCTTCAGCTGCAAGGGCAATGCCGACTTCATCCTCTATGTAGTTGTGGCAATAATATGGCTCACATCTCTTGTGAATTGAGCGTCACCGCGTGCGCATCGTGAGCGGCGTCGCGCATCGTGAGCGGCGTCGCGCGGATGGCGCGGCGCGGCGTGCTCGTGCGCGACTTCATCCGCGAGGCGCTCTGCGGCGAGGGCGGCTACTTCTGCGGCGCGGCGTCGCCGGTGCTCGCGGCGCCCAAGACCCTGCCCTTCCGCGAGTTCCGCGGCGCCGCCGACTACCGGCGGGCGCTCGGCGACCTCTACGCGCGCGGCGCCGGCTTCGCGACGCCCTGCGAGATCTTCGCGCCGTGGTACTCGTACGCGGTCGCGCGGTGGGCGCTCGCGTGGCACCGGCGCGACGGCGCGGCGGCCGCGGCGCGCGGCCGCGCGGCGCCGCCCCTGCGCGTCGTCGAGTTCGGCGGCGGCACGGGCGCGCACGCGGCCCACTTCCTCGACTTCGCGCGCGAGGCCGCGCCCGCCGCGTACGCGGCGTGCCGCTACGTCGGCGTCGACGCGTCGCCGGCCATGCGGTCGCGGTTCCTCGAGCGCCTCGACCGGCGCGGCCACGGCGGCGTCGCCGACGCCGTCGCGGGCGACGCCGCGGGCGCCTGGGCGCTCCCGCCGGGCTTCGGCGACGGGCCGGCGGCCGTCGTGGGCCTCGAGCTCCTCGACAACCTGCCGCACGACAAGGTTGTCTGGCGCGAGGGCGGCGCCTGCGACGAGGTGCGCGTCGACGGGCGCGACGAGGTCGCGGCGCCCGCGGCCGACGCCTGGGTCCTGCGGGCCGCGGCGCTCGCGGCGCCGCGCGCGGCCGGCGCGGAGTTCGTGCCGACCCGTGTGGAAATCAAGCACTGGTTTGGGGGGTCCCCACCAAACTTCAGAACTCTCTAGCTCGGTCAAATCGAAGTCGATTCGGCTGATTTTTGGACGAATCGATGGCTCTCATGGAGTTCTCGAAGCGCAGCTGAACTGTCAGGCGCAATCCGTTCAATTGCGCGCTCGTTGAAGTCGGATTGAAGATTTGAAATCCACACAGGTGCCGACGGGCGCGCTCGCGTTCCTCGACGGCCTCCGCGCGCGGCTCCCGGACCACCGCCTCCTCCTCGCGGACTTCGACGCGCTGCCGCGGCCCGCCGGCCGCGACGCGGCCGCGAGGAACGCGCCCCTCGTCGCCGCCGCGGACCGCGACCTCGACGGCTACGCCGACGCCGCCGGCGACGCGGACATCTTCTTCGCGACGGACTTCGACTACCTCGCGCGCGCCTACGTTTCCCTCGGCCTCGGCGGCCCGGCCGACGTCGAGGCGCCCAAGTCGCGCGACTTCTTCGCGCGCGACGCGCTCGCGGCCCGCGCGGCGACGCGGTCGGGCTACAACCCGCTCCTCGAGGACTTCGCCAACACGCGCGTCTTCCTCGCCGCGCCGCGCGGCGCCGGGCCGTGAGGCGCCCCGTTAGCGCCGCTTCCCGGGGGCCTCGTCCGCGCGCGCGGGGTTCTCGACGGCCTCCGCCTCCGCGACGAGCGCCTCGCCCGCGTCGTCGCCCGCGGCGGCGCGCGGCGCCGGCGCGGCCGCGAGCGCGACGAAGGCGGCGACGACGAGCCCCGCGCCGAGGCCCTGGAGCGGTGCGAGGCGCCGGCCGAAGGCCGCCGCGTCGACGGCGACGTTGCCGGGGACCGCGAGGATCGTCCCGAGCGCGACGAACGTCGGCGAGGCCTGGGCAGGAAAAGAGTGATTCAAGTTCGCTTCAACACGAGTGTTCCGCGCGCGCGCGCGTTCCCGGAAACGCACCCATGCTTCGAGACCGTTCCGAGAGATGATCGCTCGTCCAAAAATCAGCCGAAACGAGTGGAAACCGGCCGAGATAGGAGCCTTTGAAGTCGGGAATTTCGCGCTCTTTTCCCGCCCTGGGCGAGGCGAGCGCGAGGCCGAGGGCGATGAGCGCGTTGTAGGCGACGTCGACGGCGCCGCCGCCGAGGACCGCGGCGGCCTCGCCGCGCGTCCACGCGCGCGGCCCGTCCTCGCGGCCCGCCGCGACGAGCGCCGCGGCGGCGGGCGCGCCGGCGACGGCGGCGGCGGCGCCGAGGCGGCCGACGAAGTCGAGGACGAAGTCCGGCGGCGGCGCCCCGAAGCGGCGCTTGAAGCCGACCTTGTAGCACGCGGCGCAGAGCACCGCGGCCGCCGCGAGCGCGACGCCCGCGGGCCGCGGCCGCGCGCCGCCGCCCGCGCCCGCGACGAGCGCGACGCCCGCGAGCGCGGCGGCCGCCGCCGCGGCGCGCGCGGCCGTGAGCGGCTCGCCCAGGGCGCACCGCGACAGCACCGCGACGACGCCCGGCGCCGCGCCGAAGACCGTCTGCACGACGGCCGGCGGCGCGACCGCGAGCGCGCGGACGTACGCGTAGTTGGCCCCGACGAAGAGCGCGAGGAACGCCGCGACGTCGCCGCGCGCCGCCGGCGCGCGCGCCGCCGCGCGCGCCGCGGGACCGCCGAAACGCCGCAGGGCCGCCGCCGCGGGCAGGCAGACCACCATCATGGCGGCGTGGGCCCACATGATGCAAAAGGGCGCGTCCAAACGCGTCTGCGCGCGGCTCGTGAGCTGCGTGGCGCCGACCATGGCCACCGCGATGAGCAGCACGACGCCGAGGCGCAGCGACAGGGGCGCCGGCGGCGACGACGACATCCTCACATGATCATCGTCCGACGCCATCCTAAGCCCATCTCATCCTAAACCCAATAAATTTTTCTTTCGCGCTTG